CTTAGAATGCAGGCTGAATTTAGTGTCTGGTTATTTCTGTCCTCTAGATGGGAAAGCCAGTTGTACAGCCTGTGTGATAAAGAAAAGAAATTACATATGCTTGAAACCCACAGGTTGTATCAGTGCTGAAGCTGGTCATCTCCTGACTTTTTCTTCTTAGCCTCCATCGGCTTTCTGAAGATGTATGTAACAGATGGTGATGTCATTTTTTTTTTTTTAAAGTTAAGATTCTAGCAGGCAGTGAAGGATAGGAACCCAGCACTTTAAAGTCCCCCAATTAATCACCTCCATCCTGTTTGAGGAACTAGCTTGCATAAAGATGTTATGATCTAGGAACCACAGTCCATTAATTTCCTCACAGACATTTTGGAGTGTGCACAGGGTATATAAAACCTAAATAGTACTCCAGGCCTGAAGCCGAGCTTATTATGCAAATGCATCTCCTAGAAATGTGGAGTAAAGGAGCTTAGGGTTAGCGAACAGGGCCGCTCACAAGAATGAAGCACTAGCCTGTGGTTGGGAAACATGGTTCAGAGGTAACGACTTGACCTCTTTGGATCTGGGAAAGTTCCTGTTTGTTTCGTAATGTGTGCATTTCACGAGGGCTTGGGAGCTATGTACGCAGTAAGGTGAGTCTGCAGCAGTACCACAAACTTAAGAAAGTGGAACCAAACACCCTATTTCATCATTGAAATACATTTAGTATAAACCTCCCAAACTATACCCACTTCTTGATGCTAATTTTTTTTCTGAAATGTTTATATGAATTTCTTGGGAAAAAAAAATTCTATACTCATTTTCACTGTGCTCTAAGGACGAATTAAAAAGTAAAACCAGCTCTCAAAGACAGCTCCCCAGGCCATGGTAGTGCATTCCTGCAATCCCAGTGTTTGCACAGCGGAAGCCTGTGAAGTTCAAGGTCATCCCTTTCTCTATGGGGAGGAGTTTGAAGCCAGCTTGGTCTCCATGAGACCCTGTCTCACAAAACCAAGCCCCAACAAAACTAACGGGTAAATGATGGGAAGTAAACCATTTGACCAGAGTCTTACTGAGTCACGGTCTTCAAGCCCTCTCCCAAAGCAAGGCAACCCATCCGCCCTTCAGGGAATTGCCTGGATCAATAGGAGCGCCCGGGCCAGGCTTGTCCTGGGGTCCCTCGGCTTCTGGGAGGGTTCTGAGGTCTCAGGCGCAGCAGGCTTTCTGGGGAGCAGCAGCCCCAGCTCGGCTTTGGCAGGCTGCTGAGTGTGTGTTCCTGTGTTGGGGGGTGTGAGTCGGGGGCGGGTCCTTGGGCCGGACACGCCCCCCACCGGCCTTAAAACGCTCGCCCGCGCCCGACCCGCCGCCGCTGGCGCTCGCGGGGACTGCCAGGCTCCGCGCGGCCCCCAGCCCCGCGCCTGCCGCGTCCGCGCCGCACAGTTGCCCATGGCTGACCTGAGCTTCATCGAGGATGCAGTCGCCTTCCCCGAGAAGGAGGAAGACGAGGAGGAGGAAGAGGAGGGCGTGGAGTGGGGTTACGAGGAAGGTAGGCTCGCGGGGCTGCTGCCGCGGCTTCTCTGCCCCACACGGTCCCGCGCTTTCCCCTCCGAAGCTGCCCCTCTGCGGCTCGCCCCTGCTGCACCCAGGCAGCCCAGCCCGGAGCAGACCTGAAACCCAGTTGCTTTCTAGTCTTGGGAAGTCCAACCAAATGAGCTTTAGAAAAACGCGTCCCGGATTGCAAGCTCAGTCAGTGCTCTTGGTGACTTTAAAAGGAGTTTCCTCAATCTGTCTCTGAAGACCCAGGGCTCCTAATAGCCATTAGTGTCCATGCTTACTGTATACACGGGGAAAAAAAAAAAAAAAAAAAAAAAAAACAGTGCAACGGAGTTCATAAATATATGTATGGGATACTGTATGTGCTTTTTAAACAAATGGTGCTCCTTAGCATTACGGGTTTCTGCTGTCTCTGAGCTTGTTGAGCGTTGCGGATATTTTCTAAGTATTGCATTATAATTGAACTGATGAGCAGAGGAAATTTCTGTGGTTTTTTTTTTCTAATCACTTAAAGATGACTTAAGTTTCCTAAGTCTCTAAATCAAGGCATCTGTGTGCACAGATATAAACACGCAGTAAAAGATTTTGTGTGTGGTATTATATTTAACAACAGATCACTCACACAATGAATGTAAAAACCCATACACATTTCTCAAATTTCAGTTGTGTTCACATGGTAGTCACAGCTATAATGTCAAGGATTGTGAGTTTTTATGTTATATTTTACTGTTATTAACTTAAAAAATCCTATTCTCAGTTTTCATCATTTTCTCGTCAGGTGTTGAGTGGGGGTTGGTGTTTCCTGATGCTAACGGGGAGTACCAGTCTCCTATCAACCTAAACTCCAGAGAAGCCAGGTACGACCCCTCACTGTTGGATGTCCGCCTGTCTCCAAATTATGTGGTCTGCCGGGACTGTGAAGTCACCAACGATGGACACACCATTCAAGTTATCCTGAAGTCAAAATCAGGTATTTTGGAGAGCATGTTTCTGCGCTGTTGTGAGCAAGTGGACAATCTCTGATTTAATTTGTATGGTTTAAAAGGTGGTACCAATGCAGTTCCTATTTTCATAGTTCTTTACAAGATGCGTTTTCTGGGGATTATTTTCTGAAATAGTGTGAAGGACTAAGAGGGTGAATGACGGCTGTCTCAGCTGGCTGTCCTCCCAAAGCTGTGCCTGGCGTGGCCTCTGTTGATTGAACAAACATTTACTGACCTGTGAGGAACAGAGTCCCTACACAGGCATGCTTCTTTGAGTTGTTCTGCTGTGCATTTTGTTCTAAATTATTGATTAGCTGAAATCATTTAATTATAATTCTTTGTTTTACAGTTTGTGAAACCAAAGATCAGAATTTAGAGATGTCATTGATGTCCGTATTCAAGATAAACCTTTCAAATTAAATTTCCCTTCTCTATTATTGACAAGAATAATTTTAGTAACAGTTAAAAGCATCCTCTGAACTCAGCCAGATATTTATATGGAAACCTAGCTCTTGGTTTTGTTTATTTATAACTTCTTGAACCTAGTTGAAATGAATCTGAAATGTTTTGTGGAAAAATTAAATTTCCAGGGAAACTGGATTTCAGCTTAAATGTAGGAGAGATGAAAGCAGTTTTGTTTTTGTTTTTTTTAAAGAAATAAGCATTAACACTGTGTTTTTCAAGGGGAATAATGACTGTTTTCTTCTTGGGAAGATTGTGACTTTCGAGTATGTTGAATGTTGACGTGCTTCACAAACAGGCTGTGCTTGCGTTAATTCCAAATTGATAAAGGAGGTGTTCCAACCCATACAACCTTTAGGTCTGTCCCTGGGCAAGGAAGGCGTTGACTCCTGCCCTTAAGTCATCAGGTTTCAGAGCTTTATTCGAAGTCTGTGAGAGAGAACATGTATTCTTTGCAGCTGTTGAGTTTAATCAGGGTGGGGACAGCTCCCGAAGAACAGTCTGTGTGGGTGGAGTTAGTTTGTTTTTCCCGAAGTTCACACATTGAACTTTGAGCGTAAATCAGAATGTTTCGGAGATGTTACCTCTGGTCACTGTGCATTCTGCATTGTACTTTGTGTATTCCTCTGCTCCCCTCCCGCCCTGCCCTCCACTCCTGAGTGGTAGCAAGAGCTGCCTGTGCCTCTGTCCTGATGCAGGCTCTGTCCTCCTCTCCCCTGGGAGCTTTCCTCCCGCATGCACCCTGGCTCTTCCAGTCACTGAGTGATCTCTCTTTTTAATATTTCACCAAACTTAAAAGTTAATTCATGCTGTGCATGGAGGTGCACACCTTTCCTCCCAGCGCTCCAGAGGCAGAGGAAGGTTGACCTCTCTGAGTCCAGGCTAGCCTGGTCTACACAGTAAACACTTATCTAAAAAAGCCAAGTAACTGAAAGACCATGTCTTGATTAGTTTATTACTTTTTTTTCTAGGATATTTCAGCTTCTCTAAGGAATTGTTTTTAAACTCTAAACACCATTATTTATTTAATGAAGTTCTTTCTTTATCAAAATGGACTACAGACATAATTTGAACAATTACCTTTTTCTACATTTTTCTCTACCCTAGCTATAGCCTATCTCATACCACCTACAACTTCTGTTTTTCTCTAGTAACAACCACTTTGAACCTTCAAGAATTATATATTTGTTTTTTGTAATTATGATATGATTACATAATTTCCCCTTCCTTACTCTAAACCCTCCCATATACCCTTTCTTGTTTTTTCATTCATTGTTATATACATATATGTAAATGTACATACATATATATTCCTAAATGTATAAATACAACCTGCTCAGTCTGTATGTGACTTAGGTGTTTGTTTTCAGGGATGAACGTTTTAAAATGGTTTCTCTTATGTTTCTTAATAACATGTTTATGTTATTTGCTCTGATATTTAGGAGCTCCCCAGGCTCCCTGCTGGGGAAGGGAAGGTGGGTCTTCTTATAAGCCTCTCCTGTCCTGGTTTTGCCCCACATGCCTAAATTATAGTTATTAAAATTAATACTCAAAACATTATTACTATGACCTTGCACCTGCCATTTCTGCCCGAGACTATATTCTGTTTTTCTTTATGGAACAATGTTTTCACCTGGAGTTACTATATTTTTGTTTATTTATTCTTAAAGTTACCTAACAGGAACTCACTTTTAACTCTGAGAGATGATAGGTCCTGTCTCAGCACATTCAAAGGCATCACGTGGTCCTTCCTTCTTGTCCTTTCTGCTGCCCCTTGGAGGTGTTCTTCTCTGTCTGGACTGACACTGAAAAGTTAAAACACACACACTTTCATTTTTCTCTCTCACTTTTAGTTTCTAAAAACTGATACTGATTGTTCCAATCAATTTCCTTTTGAATTTCACCATTCAGTGTTTCACGAAAATGAGACCTTTCTTCATTCTTTTCTGTTGCCTTCTTCCTGGGTTTTTGTTAATTCTGGGTTCCTTCTCTATCAACTCAGCTCTATCCTTTCATTTGGAGGTTCTTGTCAAGCACCTAGTGTCCAGCTCTCTGCTCCTTCTTAAGAGTGACTCTAAAATGTGGTCTAGAAGCTTGGTTCACGAAGGGAGGGGCTGCCATCTGGTCACATGGTCAGCAATGGAATCAGACAGTGACCTGGCTGTGTGGGAGAGACAGCTCTGGAGGTTGGCTCAGTGTCCTGGGACTCTACCTGCTTGCTATTTCTGCTTTTCTAGGGGCCAGTGGGTGGGTGGGGAGGGAGGGTTGTCCCACTTGTGGATGTTTGCATTCTGGCCATTGTCAACAGCCAAGAGAATGTCACCATATGCTGTGTTCGTATTCTCTAGTCACCTGCCAGGGACTACGAAGGCAGCCGTTTGGCTGTGGAGAACGCGGTGCAGAGTGAACCACTCTTTCTAGGGGGTCTTCATTTCCTGTTTGTAGTTTCCCACTCTGTGCCTCCACTCACGTCCAGGCACACCAGTGCCCCTCAGTTCTGAGTCTGCCCTGGTGTGTCTTTCCTTGTGGCTGCTATGACAAAATGTGATTTATAAATGACAGGAATGTCTCAGTTAGGGTTTCTGTTGCTGTGAAGAGACACTGTGGCCACGTCAACTCTTATAAAGGAAAACATTTAGTTGGGTGGCTTACATTTCAGAGGTTCCATCCATTATCATCGTGGTGGGACATGGCGGCATGCAGGCAGACATGGTGCTGGAGAAGTAGCTGAGAGTTCTACATCTTGCACAGGCATGAGGAAGTGGTCTATCTCACTGGGTTTAGCTTGAGTTGAGGAGACCTCAAAGCTCACCCCCACAGTGGCATGCTTCCTCCAACAAAGCCACACCTCGAACTAGTGCCACTCCCTTCGGGGGGCCATTTTCTTTTACACCACCACAAGGAGTTTCTGATTTCCAGAAATCTGGGAAGTCTCAGCTCAGGGTTGTACAGATGCAGCATCTGAGGAGAACGTGCTCTGCTGCATAGACAGCACCTCATAGCTGTGTCCTATGAGAGGACTGAGCAGACGCCATAACAGGCTGCTCAGTCTTCTCTCAGAGATCAAGCCTTGGACCCTGCTTTATGGAACCAAGCAGGCAGTGTTTGAGGGAGACCCATAGACAAAGGGCAATTAATCACTGGTGCCCCTGACAACAGAGACAAGGGAGATAGGATGTACTTAGCCTGGGCCACTGAGCCAGCCCCCACAGTTAGTACATGCTAGGCCAGTCAGCCTCCACAGCAACTCTAGGACAAAGCCAGGGACTTGTCCAGGCCTGCCCCCAAAATGGAAAACTGTACCCTGGCCAGCCTCTAACTAGCCCTGGCCAATTAGAATGTGCTGATATGACTGCCACTTGCTTGAGCCAATCATATCTAAAGTCACCTAACTGCCTTAGGACCTCCCCTTGCCTGTGCTTAAAAGAAACCCACACATCTCTCTCAGGTTCTTCGCCATCTTGCCTCTGTGTAGAATGGACAGCCCCAGCATGCTGGGATAATAAATGGTCTTGCTGATTGCATATGTGGATGATGGTCTTTTGTGAAACTTCTCCAGGACCCTAACATCCTCAAGTTGCAGAGGGGAAAGGGAACACTCTTTCCATTCTCCAGGGTAGAATGCTCATCACCTAAGCATCTCTAGCATGGCTGGACTTGGGAGCTGGCTTCAGTAGGCCATGTCCTGTGGTGGGTGTGCCTCCAGGGGGCATCTCTGCTGTTTCACTAAGTCAGAATTTCAGGCCAACCAGAGGCTCCCTTGGTTTCTTTGGCTTTTCTCTGCTGCTTTTAAATTCCACCCTTGGCCATTCTGCCCTTGCACACTCCGCTCTTTTGTGTCATGAGGTTTGAAGAGGGATGGAAGAACTTTGAGGAAGGAGGTTCTCCCTCATAACAGTGTGATGTCTTTTAAATTTCATTCATTTATTAGTCTGTTGGTTATTTTTTTGTTTTGTTTTTGAGATAGGATCTCAGTAAGTTAACCAGGCTGGACTGAAAATCACTGTGTATTGGAGATGGTTTTGAACTCCCAGCAATCCTTCTGCTTCTGTCTCCCGCATGCTAGTGTTATGGGCATGAGTACCATGTCCCACTCACATGCTTTTTAAAAACTTATTGTTTTAGTTATTGTTTTTTGTTATTAGTGTGTGTATGGTGTGTGTATGTGTGTGTGTGTGTGTGTGTGTGTGTGTGTGTGTGTGTGTGTGTGTGTGTGTTTTGCGGCTCTCTTCATGGGGAGGTCAGAGGGCCCTGCATCTCCTTCTACCTTTACATGGCTTCTTGGGATCAAATTCAGATTATCAGGCTTTGGAGAAAGTGCTTTTACCTGATGAGTCATTTTGCTGGCCCACAAATTACCCTTTTAAAGTTAAAAATAATATTCACAGGTAAGTGCAAGAGGTTTTTTTTTTTTTTTTTAAGGAATTAAAGCTGACTTTTTATTACCTGCTGTGTTGAGATCTTAGTTTCTTTGAGAATGCCTGTGACTGTGGACATTTAGTCATTTGTTCTTTTCTTTTTATTT